CGCGAGCTGCAAGGCGCACAGCTGCAACTGTCGCGAGCCCGGCGCGCGGAGGCGGGCAGCCATTGGCCGTCTGGCCCGGGTGCGCCAATGATTGGCTGGCAGAGCTCCAACCGGCAAGGGTAAAGCGTACGCTGCCGAAACGCTGCGGGCCGGGAAAGGCACGGGACGTAAGGCGGCTGACCATGGATGGCCGCGGGGTAGCTCGGTCATTGGAAACTGGTGGTCAGCCTAGGTGACCGAGACTCCAGGTCAGTGACCCGGCCAGGCCGGCTGCTGATTGGCTACCTCTTCTGGAGGCCTTGGTTGGGCGGGGCTGTCCGCAGGAGCACGGCGGGAGGGGCCACCAGCACCGCAGTCACGTAAGCGTCTTAGACTTCGTGAAGTTGGCGCTTGAACCTTTCGGTCTTTGAAGCCAGCCCGGAACTTTCTTTCCAGGGTACTTGAATTCTCAGCTTCAGTTCTTCCAAACGGTTTCCCAGGACCTCCAAGTGACATGAGCCAATAATGGCAAAGCAGTGGGATTGGGATCCAGGGGGACATTGCCTACAGTGTGATACTCAGCAAATGGTCGCGCTTCTCGTCCTCATCAACTATTAACACTTTTATTGAGGCATAATGTACAATGATGGGCTTAAGTCTTAAGTATAGCCGGGCGGTAGTGACTCACGACTTTAATCCCAGCACACGGGATGCAGAGGCAGTAGGATCTCTGAGTTCGAGACCAGTCTAGTCCACAAGAACTAGTTCCAGGACAGTCTCCAAAGCCACAGAGATACCCTGTCTCGAAAAACAAAACAAAACAAGTCTTACGTATAGATCAATGCGATTTTTACATATTAATATCTTCATATATCAGCTATCCATAATTCCAACATTTCACAAAAAAGTCCACTTATATTACTATCTGGCCAATAACGGATATCTTTCCCCAACCACGTTTCTGGCCTTGATTATACATTCACTCTAATTTGCTTGTTCTAATCTTTTTAGAATAATCACCTTTGGACTAGAGGAATTTCTATTGAAGATCTTACTCTGTTAATCACAGAGACGGGAAGAGAAAGACCACTGACCCAAATCATCATGACCCAATTAATTAAAACAACTAATTAAACCGGGTTTTTAAAAATTTATTTAACTTTATGTGAATTGGTGTGAGGGTGTCAGATCCCTTGGAACTGGAGTTACAGACAGTTGTGAGCTGCCATGTGGGTGCTGGGAATTAAACCTAGGTCCTCTCAAAGAGCAGCCAGTGTTCTTAACCACTGAGCCATCTCTCCAGGTCCTGAGTTGTTTTGTTTTGATTCGTGTACATGGGCTGCTTCCTCCTAAACTGAGGTTTAGAGGTTAGCATTGGTTGTGAGGAAAACGAAGATTTATAAAGTTCAGGGGCAGGGGGTTTCTAAATGGGGGGATCTGGGCAGGCAATAGGAGCAGAACATAAGCCAAAGGACTCCCTGAAATAAAAACATGGGCTGGGCGTTGGTGGCACATGCCTTTGGGAGGCAGAGGCAGGTAGATCTCTGTGAGTTCCAGGCTAGCCTGGTCTACAGAGCGAGTGCCAGGATAGGCTCCAAAGCTACACAGAGAAACCCTGTCTCAAAAAACCAAAAAAA